AGGAATATTATAATGAGATCCCTTTGCCACGTCACCAAGGGAGCGAAATCAGACACGCTCGTTTTTTCGGACGCAAAATCTATAATTTTAACCCATACAATGTATTTTTGGCTATTGCTACAAATATACCCCAGCGACTTAAGACTGGTTTTGTGGTCCAGGGTCACACATGTGCCGTCAAGCTGATGATGTTTTAATTTGCGGGTGCTTTTTCTATTTGCATGTGTTTTCTAAAGTTGCAGTGCGTTGAGCTCTCACGGCCACTATATAACGGTGTATGTGACAAATAAAAATCTTGAATCTAATGGTGTTTTACGAGTATGCCCTTTGTGGCTGCTATCAACCCAAGATGCACACTTCTGCCAAGTCCATAATGAGGCGAGCTATCAGACTTAAACCAGGCTGTCAAAGTGGCATTGTCATGAAAATGTGGACGCAGTGTTGACAAGTGCTTTTGTGAAGAGATTAAGAGCTGCATGCAATTCCAGTTTAATAGAGTACAGAAACATTTTATGTCAACACATCTGGAGAGAAATAGAAAGTTTTATTTTAGTCTCGTGTCTAACTTTCTAACTTTCTAAAACTTTTCTCTGCATTCGCATGACAACTTTGGACTTAAAGGGATAGTTCACCCAAAAAATGAAAATTCTGTCATTAATTACTCACCCTCATGTCGTTCCAAACCCGAAAGACATTCATTCATCTTCAGAACAAAAATTAAGATATTTTGATGAAATCTGAGAGCTTTCTGACCCTCCTCCATAGATAGCTATGTACTGTACCTGAAACGTTCCCAGGCCCAGAAAGATAGTAAGGACATCATTAAAATAGTCCATGTGACATCAGTGGTTCAACCTTAATTTTACGAAGCTACGAATGTACTTTATTCAACAATTCTTCTCCTCCGTGTCACCATCTTCCGCTATTCATGCGAGTATTTTGGGTGAACTATCCATTTAAAAGCTGTTAGCATAAAGACAAGGATTTGTTTAATTTGACCATCTTTATTTTTGGTTATGTTAATGTGTAATATTTAAAATACACTTATCTATTATTTTAATAATTTTATAAGCATTTGTTTGTTTATATTTTCTAATTAGGCACCAAATAGCTAGAGTACACTTGGGAATAGGATATACAAACACACCTTACTTTCTCTATAAATAACCATTTATGTGACTGCAGGGTCCAGGCCTTGGAGCACTACAAAGCGGTCATGAACATGGGCTATAGCTCCACCAAGAGCAACATTTCCAGAGGACTGAACAGGGCTTCCATCCGAAAACAGACCCAGCGCATCCAGCAGACCGTCAGCAGCTGGACTGATGTGGCCATGTCAAACATCCGCAAAACCTCTTAAAAGAGGCACCTGTTTTCATTATGCTACTAAACATGTATGTCGTCTTGCGTTTCTCAGTATATGCCAGAAGAGGCCTTGTCCAGTATTTTGAATGGACCGTTTTCTTATCTGTCTGTATCTTCTAAGTGTTTAAAGTAAAGGGCAACTGAATATACTGTATCACTATTTGGGAACATTTAGCATTTACAGCTGCTAATTATCAGATGTATGTGCATGATTTTAGTTAATGCACATTCCTGGCTCAGTGTGCTTGACGTAATGAAGCATTTATCAATTCTGCTGTGAAAAAACACCAAAAGATGTGAATACCAAATGTAAGCATATTTGAAATACATGTGTGGAGAAGTCAAGGAATTAGAAAAAAAAAAAAAAAAGCTCAAATGTTATTCATCAAAAAAAGACATACACAAAATACATCCAAAAAACCTGAATATTGTTTATTTTTATTTTGTTTGGTAAAAAAAAAAAAATATCCATCCGACTCTAAACTGACATAGATTCTGACTGTGGGAGATGTTACTAATGTTATTATGTTTGCTAACTGTCAAACCTATTTAGTGGAAGTTTATTAACAGTATTTTACTACTTTGGTACTTTACACAAATACTAACGTTTTACATAAACTCCGTAACGCAGTGTTTCTCAATCCTGGTCCTGGGCGCCTCCCAGCACTGCACATTTTGTGTGTCTCCCTAATCAAACACGCCTGATTCAACTCAGGACCTGAAATGGGTGTGTCAGGTAAGGGAGACATACAAAATGTGCAGTGTAGGGGGACGCCCAGGACCAGGGTTGAGAAACTGGTGTAAAAGGAGAATAAAATGCAAAGTATGCCATATCTTCACAAATTCACCAAGCAAATATTAAGACACTATAATCATCGATTGTACTTATAATATGATCCATATGTATACATTACCAAAGGAGAATAAGAGAATTCAAATGAGATAAATTGTCTACAAAACTATTACATGCATTTGAGTTTTTCAAAGTTGAAATGATGTTTACATGTATTGCTTTGCATTATGCATGTGATTTGTTTATAATAGGACAAAAACAGCAGAATTGTTTGCTTTTTATACTTAATAAAAACTGTTGAATATTTCATACATTTAAATGATTCATTACTTTTCACCATAATATTTTAAGTATTTTTGAGTGATTTTATTTTTTTTTAATTGACTCTAAAATGCAATACAATAACAGTGATGCAATGTGTTTGCCTCAGCAATGACCCATCATTTTTTTAAGGATGGTAAATGTTTGAAACTCCAGAGGGAGCAGCTGTAAAACCATATGCAAGATTTCAGCTCATTCAACAATTTTATCAAAAATATTTTAATAGGTTTTGCCATCTTACTGTGTTGAAGGGAAGTTCAGGCTGCCTTCTAGAATGAAACACTCGTTCTATGGTTGCATATAATGGTTTACATAGGCTCAATCAATTAGTGAAAGTGAAACTAATTGATGAAAGTGAAAACGTCAATGTTAAGGTGCAGCCATATTAATCATTGTACAGCAAATTTTTATTGGACAAAATCTAGTTATTTTAATAGGAATCAAGGGGATCAGGTTTACATATAGGCTTCAGTTGGTCATGCAGATTCAACATGTTGACCAACAGAAAGCTTTTTGTTTTTCATGGCATTAAATCCTTAAATCAAGATACCTTTACTTGAGATGCAAAACAAATACATTGTCTTGTTTTAACAAAATTAAGGGATTTTATGCTTAAAACAAGAACAAATGCTGAAAACTTGTTTTTCATTTTAATTAAATTATTTAAGATTATTAGCATAATTTTCTTGTTTTATTCAAACTTCATTTTGATCAGTTTGTCATAAAACAAGACTTATGTTATTTTTGTAAATTCAAGTAAATATATATGTCAAGTAAAGAATCTTTTGACATTTGTGACCACAAAACCAGTCATAAGTATCACGAGTATATTTGTAGCAATAGCCAAAATTGTATGGGTCAAAATTATCTATTTTTCTTTTATGCCAAAAATCATTAGGATATTAAGAAAAGACCATGTTCCATTAAGATATTTTGTACATTTCCTACCTTAAATATATAAAAACTTAATTTTTGAATTTTTAATTGAATTTTTGCAACTTTAAAGGAAATTTTCTCAATATTTTGATTTTTTTTGCCACCTCAGATTCCAGAATTTCAAATAGTTGTATCTTGGCTAAATATTATCCTATCCTAACAAACCACATCAATGGAAATCTTATTTATTCAGCTTTCAGATGGTAAATAAATGTAAATTCAAAAATATTTACCCTTATGACTGGTGTTGTAGTCCAGTGTCACATTTGTACTAGAAAACGACAAAATACTGAAGGTAATTTTTGTTAATTTTGATTGTGCAAAGTTCTGTATTATGTTCTACAATATGAACTTCACGAAAGACTTCCTCTATTGACTTGCTCTGTTCTGTGAGAAATTATAGAGCGACACGACGGTAAGCGCATAGCCTAATTGTTTTTTGTTTGTTTGTTTTTTGTTGTTGGATTTGCATCAATGAATGACACAGTTTTGACTGTCATGGTGTGTGCATAAATGAGTGTGAAATACCTAATTACGTTGCTTATTCCGATCACTTATATTGGACACTTTTTTGCATTTAAATTCTGACTGTTGACATTGAAAATTATGCATGTGTTTTTTCGAGGGTATCAGTTAATTTCTTGATTGCCGTTTTGACAGTATCTGCTTGCATATTTTAATCATATTTGGTAATTCTCTTTAATGTATTTTCCCCGATTTGATCCATGGGAAATTTATCTAACATATTTATTATTTTATCTTCATTATTTTGTTTTAAGGAGTTAAAAATGGCTCTTATCAACCTTGATTGACATATTCTATTACATTATTTTGACAGTTAAAGTTTTGGGCGGTTTTTTGTTTGTTTTTGTTGGAGTGGGCAGTTTTTTGTGAGCTTTTAGGCTAGAAATCGTCCGTCCAGTCTGGCAACACTGACAGCAGGACATGTTTAAAGACTGTCAGCACATAATCTATTAGCACATGCAGCAGATGAATACTAGAGCTATAGTATTAACATAATGAATGGGTATGCAGCAACATTTTGACAAAAATAATCTAGGTTCAGCAAAACATGCCGGCAGGAATCAAAAAAAAATATATATATTTATAATGGCAGTTGGAATGCTCCTGGTGATGTCCATTCTTCATCTAAGCTCCTTTTATCTTACAGCTAATTAAAACCAGCGAGAAAACAGAGGGTCTTCTGAGAAATGTGTGGGTCACCAAAAAATCGTAAAGAACACAAAGCCTCAGATTCGAGGACTGCTATAAATAGATGCAGTTCAGGTGCTCATGTCCATGGTTACCTTCACAAAAGACCATTACAGGAGTCTGTAGAAACCTTCGCCACACATGAAATGAGTCTCCTGGCAAAGCAGGAAACTCAATAAAAGATGACCCTGACACTATGTTCTATAACTGCTCTCTGTCATACTTTTGTCCTTGTCTCAATTATGGCATCTATAAGAGTCACAGGATTGTTAAAGCGTTCAGTGTCCAGTCTTTAATGTTGCTGGTCTCAGACCAGGGTGATTGTTTGTTTTGGAGGTAATTTGCAAATCCTTGTGGCTCATCCAGTCTTGTCTACCATGGAGATCATCTATTGAGTCTACATATCATATGAACAGTTCTTCTGGTCTGAGATGAGATCTTGATGTGTTTGAAAACGTACTTCTTCTGCGTGTGCTGTGGATGGAAAAAAAAATGAAATTAGTATTTGTGAGAGATTTACTACAGATGCTCTTTCAGCCTTACCAGCTCTAGTCAATGCCCTAACTGTTGAATCCTCTTACAGTTTTTCTCAATTGCTAACACACTATAACTGATTAGTTTGGCACAATTTTCCAAACCATTCATACAGTTCCTGAAACAAAGACACGTTTCTCAAAACTTTTAACACATTTCACCTGTTTTCACACACGCTCCAATTTGCTCAGTGTTTTTTAGCTAAACTCTACACAAGAACGACATAATTTTGCACAGGTTTAACCACAAACACAGAATATAACTACCTCAAGAATCACAAAATGAACACAAATAGCACACATTTATCCATGTGTAAACATTAAGTAGCAAAACTGACACACCAGTCAGAATCTCATGATGATATAAAAAGGAGCACAGGTGATTATGTGATTTGGAAAATGAATCCTACTAATGGGATACAAAGAGGAAGAGGAGGGGAAAAGAAAACTGAAGGAGACGGGGTCAAAGGACATTTATTCCTGATGAAGTACACAGCACTATAGTTGATCATGTTCTTGTGCATGAGGACAGCTGGCCTACAGGCTCATCTACAGGCTTTCAATACTACTTACAGATAAAATATAATGACAGAACAGTAGCAGTACTTCAGATGAGATAGCTTTTACTTTTTATATACTGTATATGTACAGTAAATACTGAAGAACAAGTTGTACACCCTCAAACTCATAACTGCTGAACTGATTTGTAGCCAAGTACAGAACTTCTTACATGTACTGTATTTTTGCAGAACTAAGAGATGGCTCTATATTCTGTTGCGTTCATATGCAATTCTTTGGTATTTGACCTTTTCCTTTCTAGTGCTTTTCATCTACTGTACTGTAAGATCTGCAGTGTAATGAAAATAATATTTTCTTACTGTAAAGCTTATTGTTGAATTTCACTGTATCTGCTATATTTACTGTAACATGTATCTGCTCAAATTATGTTGTATACTGTAATAGACATTGAGCTGTAAAATGATACCTGATTACCAAAAGAAGGGCTTGTGTGTCATGAGGGCGAAGTTTGTTTTTTTCAGCAAGATTGAATAGATTTGAGTGGAGAGCTTCATTTTGACCTGAAAATAGGAAGTATAGGGAATTGGGTGAGAAGTTATGGATTTGTGTTTAGAGTTTCGAGAAAAGGAGTCACAATTTCAAGAAATGTGTTTAAGCAATCGAGAAAAACTGTAACTATATAACACATGGTAGCAATTTTAGATATTCAATTCAAATTTAGAATACACATTTGACTGATGATACACGACTTCGATACACATATGACTGATGAATTTTACACAGTTATGCAACCGAACTGAATCAATACTGAACTGACTTGAGAGGGGGTAAAAATAATTTATTTCCAAAAAAAACAAAAAAAGTTTTGATTACTAAGTGAACAAATTATATATAAGTGTTTTCACACATAATCACTGTCATCAGTAAATGAGTGTGGCATTAAAATGGCAGTGTTTCCCAAATTAAACAAAAGAGCTGCTAGTTTCGACAATCGAGAAAAACTGTAACTATATAACACATGGTAGCAATTTTAGATATTCAATTCAAATTTAGAATACACATTTGACTGATGATACACGACTTCGATACACATATGACTGATGAATTTTACACAGTTATGCAACCGAACTGAATCAATACTGAACTGACTTGATCTGTAGAATTACACTATTGACTTGTTAGAGCTTCTTTACAGCAGAATTTGAATTTGATACTATTGTGAAGCTGTTGTGAAACAATCTATATTGATAGATAGATAGATAGATAGATAGATAGATAGATAGATAGGTAGGTAGGTAGGTAGGTAGGTAGGTAGATTCAGTAAATGAGTGTGGCATTAAAATGGCAGTGTTTCCCAAATTAAACAAAAGAGCTGCTAGTTTCGAATGATGAATGGTGTAATGTAGAGAACTGAGTTTAGAGTTTTGCAAAAAGTTTGTTTTACAATATCAGACTGAGTTTTAAAGCATGTCATTTGCTTATAGTTTTGCAGACTTGGTCTAAAGAGTAAGTATATGAGTGAATGGTTCCACTAAGTGGGCCTCAAGTATCACTTTTAGTGTCTAAGCAATAAAAAAAAAAATAATGTCATTTTAATGTATAACAAGTTAGATATAAATAAAGTTTGTTTATATCTATAGAATCTGCAGATGCTATTTCCAAAGAAACTAAGTCTTACATCCCCAGAAATATAGCATTAAAAAGTTTAAAACCTACTGTCATAATCTATTTCTACTGCACCTACAAGTGTAATTTAAAGAGGAGTATTAATTTAATTTGTAATAACAAAAAGACAGAGAAACTAAAATATTTAAGCCTAAATTTATGATTTATGTATTTTAACTGCATATAAAACTTCTATCCATTTGGACTACACATGCAGTTTTAATATAAACAAACTAATAAACTTGATGTGATGCATATTTGTCAATCATACATAAATGAAATGGGTAAAATAAATAAAGAAATAAAATAAAAATAAAATTCTGCACTCCAAAAAAATTGCATCTATTTAAATAATGATTTTCAAATTGCATTTATTCAAATTGCTTAGAATCAGAATAAATCTGTTAATTGCAAAAACAATTTATTCATGTATGAACATTGATAAAATATGGTTGGCTGTGAAACAAGCAATATTAATTTAGTTAAAATGTATGAGATTGAAGTAATATTGATTAAATAGTAAAAAAGTTGCCAGTACAGTAATATTATTTTAAAGTTTTTTTTAATTTAGCTCAGAAAAAGTGAACTGCTACACTTAAAAATTATATTGTAGAAACCATTTTTACTCAAATTGCTAGTAAATTTCACAATTAATTACTAAGAATCAGCAAGTAACACAACTTCGAAAAATATTTTTTTACAGTGTAAGTCCTAATACCTTCAATGAGGAGGGATGAGAGGGCAGAACAGAGAGCGGACATGACCCCATTTAGAGCAGCAATAGATTAATATTGGCACATAACTTAAAATAGTTGTATTGTAAATTGTCTATCAATGACCCATAATTAATAGAGTAAAATTTTATTTACTTTCTTTACCCCTGTGTTATTTAGGGCCATCCACAAGGGATTCAGAGCGTCTAGTAGGGCCACTGCTCAGAGCACTAGATTTGAGCACTTCTACCACAATTACTCCAATAGACTGTGAAAGAGATACAACTCAAACTTCAGTCAAGAGGAACAGAATCTCAAAGGGTTCATCAGTGTTTCTAGAAACCAATTAAGCCCCTGCCTAAAAGTTCAAGACAAAGCCAACATTCGCACCCGCCCCTTCGCCAAATCACAGACACATGGACTCTTTCAGCCTGTGACAGTGAGTGGGGACCTGGGCGATCCAGAGTAACTCAAGTGCGTCACAGCAACCCAGATGGGAGCCAGTGGTCTTCTGTGAGCCAATGGGCTACTCTGGCTCTAAGTGTTGCAATACAATCGAGGGCCTATATTTCCAAATGACAATCTGCTCGCATAACTGCACTACAGGAGTATTTGTCAGTGCACTACATCAAATATTACTGTGAATCTCTGCAGGTTTGTGGAATGAATGGAGCTCTGTATTGGAGCACTTCCAAATCAATCACAAAACAGGGGTCTCCATGACAACGACTGAGAAACATCTCCAATTAATATGTCAGCATGCTGTCAATGCTAAACCATGTAGGGCATAAAGATGAGTTGTGCATAGTTGATATTTAAAATCAGTGACCAAAAAATGAGGATTTAAAATAACTTATGAAATAATAATGAATAGTTAACTTCTGAAATGTAATGTGGTACACTGTCAGAAAAAAAGGTACGGTGAAGGTAACGTTACAATTTTGTTACTAGGGGAACAAAATGTATAACTGTAGCTTTAAAGGTACACAATAGGTCCTTAAGGTACCCAAAAAGAGTCATGAAGGTACAATCAGATGTGAGAGGTACATTTTTGTACCTTTTAAATTTTACAGACGTTATGGTTGTTGTCGCTTTAAGAATTTCCCTCTCTTGGCTTCAGTCAATACTGAAGCGAGTAAATTTGCTTTCTGACAGAACTTCGCATGAATTACAACGCAGAGTGTTTTTTTGGAGTTTACAACTCTCAGGTAAATGCAGAATAATTTGATATATTATTATTTTTACACATGTGACGCCATGCTCTGTTGATTTTTGACTTGGTGTCGTGTTCACCTGCTTGAAGCCTGTGAAAAGTAGACTGGCTGGTGTACGTTAGCCTTCAGGATGGAGCTGAGGAGATGTGTACAGCTAATTTAATTTTGTAAAGATGTCACAGAGGAGGAGAGGACGGTGTTTTTGACGGTAAGTATGCTATTATTGTTACATTTTTTAACGTTAGTTAGTGTGTAATCTTGCTGTTTGAGCATAAACAATATCTGCAAAGTTACGAAGCTGAAAGTTCAATGCAAACGGAGATATCGTCTTTTAAAATTCTGGCAGTTTAATGCCTACAAAAACGGCTGGTAGGGACTACAACAAGTTACTTCCCGTGTTCGTGACATCACAAACCCAGATAAACCCTGCCCTCGGGAAAAGGCAGCAAAGGGGGCGATGCCATGCTGCGCTGCTTTAGAGAAGAGGAAGAGAAAACTAAAGGGGCACTTAAAAATCTGTTCATATATGAATCGCGATTCTTTCTTCTAACAATTCTAATGGATTCACAAGTTTCAAAATCAATGTTCTAAAGCAGCAGTTCTCAATACTGTTCCTCACGTTCCCCTGGTCTGCATCTCTCTCTCTCTCTCACTCTCTCTCATTCAGCTCAGCTCCGACAATGAACTGTTTCAATTATACACTTATTTTCACATAGCTATGAGAAGCATTAAACATGGACGAGCATGCGGTTGCTGTACTGTATTAAAGCTTTAATCAGGATAAAACCGTATATCAAAAGCTAACATAAGCAGTAGCATTTACAAGAGCG